TTTTTTATGGCTGTATTTAACGAAATATTTTTAGTAAAGTTACAGTTAAGAGACACTTACATCCTTATGCACTGTTGCTAATATCAACCATCACCAACCTGACTAACTTCAGTCTTCAGAAAATCATGCCGTCTCTCTTGTAATATGCTCTTTGCTCCAGTCGCAACAAGCAAACTATAAACAGAAGCCCCGTCACAAAACAATACTTATATTATATACACACGCATTTCTTCACAGGGAAAATATCCTAGAATGTAGTAAACAGGTTGATTTGTCTTGAAACGCAGTTGCAAAAGTAACCGCGGTGCGACGACTTAACAAGTAGGCAGAGGTTGTGCCTTGTCATTTACAGCCTTGTAGCATCCGAGGCTGCAAAGGGGAAGGTTCGACTTTGAATCCCTGTACTTGTATACATTCGTACATGTGGGACCGGCACATTTCTCTCTAGGAGGAGGATAGCTGAAAAATCAAATTTCAAAATTCAAATATAAGTGAAATCTAGAAGTTTCTGCAAGAAAAAAAAAATATATATATATATATTTACAGTAAGATTGTCTTTGGATGATGTTGCACTTAGCCTATTTGAGTTCAATACCTGTAATGCTTGGGTTCAAATATACTCGGGAGGCCAATCTCATCAGGGAATGTGACAACTGTCCCTGAAGGCCCCATGACCCATCTAACAACGTTGCGTGCAACTGCACTAGCATTGGCGATCCTCTGCAGCACCATGTTGCATACATTGGGTAAATAAATTATACACTCAAAACCGAGAGATGAAAATGACTTCCTATGGAGAACTTTAACCTGGGCTAGCTCCTCCTGTCGTCTCTTTATTTTCTCCTCGTGTCTTTTCCTGCTGGAATCATGACCCAAGATTTTTCTAATTGCCTCAGCCTACGCAACTTGTCAATATTAATATTGACCAACAATTTAATCTTCTCCAACTCACATATATAAGTGGACTACTCGACACGTATATCGTAACATGACACAGAGAAACAAACCTCAGATTCACGAGCAGCTTTCTCATTCTGAATCCTACGCCTTTGGGCGGCCTCAGCTCTTTTCAGTTGCTGCTCCACTTCAGAGAGTTGCTCTTTCGGCTCTGCCAAACAATGATAAAAAATGACAATCAACAAGGAAAAAGTGAAAGACACAATAGAGAAATATAAAAGACGGTGGCACTAAAAGATTGGACAACACACGCAAATGCTCACTTCTCGTTGGGGCTGGTGGTAATCCATCTGGAAACTGGATCGAACTAGCACCTACACCAGGTGAAATGTCTCTACTTGTCAGAAATGCCTTCCGGCGGGTGGTGATTGAACTTTCATTGGAATATTCAGCAACTCCAATCTGCTCCTTTCTCTGTTTCTTGTTCTTGTTTTCGGTTTCGCTATCAGATACAAATTCATCCTCTTCTACATAGTCATAATCTTCGGATGCTCTCACTGGCTTCAAACTCTTTCGCCCTTGGACTGAGTCAATGTCGGGAATATTTCTCTCCATTACCTTGGATATCTTTCGCAGTTTCGTGCCTCTGTTTTCTTCTTCAAATTCTGCACTATCATAGGATACACTTCTGGCGGCTTTGAGCTTTTTAAGGTACCGAATCTCATCATCATCTTCTTCGTCATACAATTCGTCGATGAAATATTTATTTGACTTGCTTATAGATGACCGACTGTGTTTCTTAGCTAGCTTGACAGAGTTCTCGGTCACATCAACCCCTGAGGAACCCATTTTTCTAAAGCTGAAGCCACTTCTCGAAAAATCCTTCCACGGCACACCACGTAGGATGCCTTTCTGATCCACCTGTTAAGATAAACTGATATAGTAAGATATCCAGACTGCCAAGGATAGCATCATTCACTTTCATGGAAAACAAAGTGCCTCGTAAATGAAGTTTAATGTTAAAAGAAAACAAAAGGATAAAAACATTCATATTGAAGGATAAAAATATTATATGCAACACCTAAGACTGCTTTTTTCCCAAATACATGATGTCTTTCAACAAATTATTACAAAGCAACAAGGTGAAAATAACATGACAGGTAGAATACTATGCATTTGCACTTTCATATACAAATATAGCCCATAGAATAATTGCGCTATAAAGTAAATATTGAACCGAAAGTGAGCATTTACCTCACCACTCAGGTTTTGTTGAGGATTAGTGGCATCTGGTGTAGCTGACTTTGTCGTAGACGTTACACATACTGAAGAACCATCAGAACCGGAAATGTTGTGGATTGTATGAGTCACACCTCCAACCTTGAGTTTAACAGTACTGAATTTTTTCCCAGTTCCAGTTCCACCCGATGATGTTACGGGTGGATTGGGATCTAAAACACTCATTTTATTTTCACTCGTCATCCAGCTATCTAGTTCAGGGTTATTATCCTCAACAGACGTTTTAAAGTCGGTGGTTTCCTCTATCATGTCACGTTCATCATAAAGTCGCTGCACAGTATCAGCATCAGCAAGGTTAGTATATGATGCCCTGGAAATGGACAAAGTGGAACCCGGTTCTTTTTGCGAATTTGTAGTTTGGTTAAGGATGTTGTTGCCTTCTTCACTAGCATGATCAGATGGGGTTGAGGACAGCGAAATAGAATCACGACACTCTTGATGGGACTCCGATTCATTCAGAGGACGGCGGATCAAATTACTTCTCCTTCTCCTCATTGGTCTTGATGTTGCAGTATCAGTGGGCCCAAAATCTCCACCGTTGTCCATGCGTAAGGAGAAGATATAGATAAAAAATTTACGCGGCTAAGAAATCCTGAAAAAGGTATTAAGTTAAAAATATATATATCAAACATCGCAAAACCACAATGGTCTTTCAGTCACTTATAGAAAATGAAAGACAATCCTTTTACCATAAGAATATGAACAGTTGAACAATGAACCGCACAAATTGGAAAGAAAATGTTTAATAGATTACGGTTATTTGAATAATTTTGGAATTAAAACATGCAGATTCACATAAAACTCCAACATGAATCAGAAGCACACGATCCAACAACAGAAGAATTAGCTCTCACATGAATAAAAAGCACCAGAAACACCCAAGTGCTAAATCGAGAAAAAAAGCATAGACCTATCCTATTATAAGGCCCCCTCAGAATGAGGAAAACAAGCAGCAGGAAACATATATCAATGGATTGACTAAGGAAAATGCAAAATTAGACGAGTACGAGCTGAAAAGGAGCAGATTCAAGATCATAGCAATACTGAAAACATGGCGCAACTTTGGCAGTACATTACAGCAACATGAGAATGAGAATTTAAACACACTGCCCTGGTACATGAAATCCAAACTATTTCATACAAATTGCACTTAATGTATGAAACTGAATTAAACTAACTATGAACACAGAACACAGAAAAAATCAACCACATAATTCACATAACACCCACTCATTCACGTATCACTCACTCGACCATTGAAATGATCTCAGATACAAAAACTTCGACAGCTTAGAGTAAGTTCTAAACTGAATACTAGCTTAGATTATTCTTAACCTAAAAAAGTCAATAAACACACAAACACACAGCATAATCACGTGAAATAACATACTCACCAGCTCACCCACGCCGTGTCTCTTTCATTTCAACTCAAACTGCCACGAGTTATCAAAAGCAAGTTAGAGCTCAAACACTAGTTGTGGCAAAAAATAGTTTTTTTTTCCGCCGAAGACATATGCATAATCATCGAGCAAGACAAAATTCACAATAAACATCTAACTCGAAATTAGCAAATACACAGCAGATAAACTTAAAGATAATACACAAAGCAAAAGCAGATAAGGTAAGGTAGCGGCCCAAGAAAGGTGAAAACAAACCAACCGCAGGAGCAAGGGAAAGAACAAGGACAATATCGCACATAAGTACAGGTCGAATAAGACTATCTAGGCCACCGGCACGGACCCGGCACGGTCAAGCCCGTTGACCACGGGTCTAGGACCGGATTTTAATTGGGCCAACCCCGGTCCATTTTTCAAAATTTTTTATAGTCTTTTTGTTTTTTTTTTTTTTTTTTTA